ATTTTTGTGCACCGAGCCTCTAGTATATATATAAGAACAGAAACACCAACTGGTTATATCCTCACGTTTTCACATAAACACTATATCTAAGTAGTCATCTCATGTAGCAAATCCAAAAGATACTGCTTTTAAGATATGAAATGAATTAAAGAGGGGGAAAGTTGGTATGCTTTACTCAAAAACTCAATTATATAAATCAGTCCTCCATTTATTCCAAAGATCAAATTTATATATTGAATCTGATCTGATATTAAAGTAAACAGAATAATGCTCCCTTTGGTAGGGACCAACAAAGTATCAGTCCAAATCTATTAACATCTAGTGCTGATGTGGACTTAGATACAATCTCCTTAGCAACCAGGTGCAAATAACATATACATGCCAACAACCTGCTCTGTGATTAATTTTACAAAGCTATTCCAAGCAGCAAATTGTCCAGTCATTTGTGACTGTAAAAATAAATAACAGCAGTAACAAAACCAAGTCATTATTGCCTTGATCAGGCCCCAAGAAAAGTTGAACCTAATAGCCCTGTGCCAGAGAAGGTGGCACCTTTATTATGGGAAAAACCTTTTTGAAATAGACTTCTTACTTGAAAAAACACAGTGTTAGCTTATGTAGAATTTAGCTTTATTTCAAAATTGACTAAAATACTTAACATTTATCTTGAGGAATATTAGTCTGTCAAGATCCCTTCTTCTAAGTTTGCACAATAGGAGACTGAGATGACTATTATAAAGCAATAGTCTGCCAGATAAATCAAAAGAAGAACACTGATTAAAGGAAAGCTCACAATTCCATTACCATAGATTTTTACAAACATGTTGGTTTAAAACAACTTGTTAACTACTTAACTATTTCTCTAAAAAGTATCTGAAAGCTCAAGAAGCTTCTTACTTCTGCATATAACAGTAGATAAAGTACAAATTAGACCACTAATTTAAATCAATATTATAATCAGTCATTACTTAACTTGACTGATACATCAACATAAAAATATTTAAATAAACTACAAACCATATTTTCCCAACAACCTATTTAATACTTATTTACCAATGAAAGATACCATAGTACAGCCCAGCCGGTATGGTTCAGTGGTTGAGCAATGACCTATGAACCAGGAGGTCATGGTTTGATTCCTGGTAAAGGCACATGCCCATTGCGGGCCTGATCCTCAGTAGGGGGTGTGCAGAAGGCAGCCCATCAATGATTCTCTCTCATCACTGATGTTTCTCTCTCTCTCCCTCTCCCTTCCTCTCTCTGAAATTAATAAAGACATATTTTAAAATAGATACCATAGTACTTTTAATTATTACTTACTTGGAGTTTCCCTCCAAGTGTAAATATTCAATGGTTAAGGAAATTCAACTTGCTGACTACATCTGATTCTACAACTCACTTGTGGAAGCCACAGGAATGTTGGGAAAGTTGGTGGTGCTGGTAGCATTAGACTCAGATGGAGCTAGCAGAGCTGGGGCGCTGTATGTCTCCGTCGATGCACGATTACTTGGTGGATGCTGGATGGTTTGAATTGAATGCCCTTCAGTGGATAATGATGGCTGTCCCTCAAAGTCATGTACATATTCATCCTTCACCAACATACTTGGTGGAGCTATATAGAAAATAAAGCATATTTTAAAATCTTATAAGCTTCTATTCTTAGAAAAAATCTTATAATAATACCTAAAATAATAGTGTAAATAATTCAGAGTTTTTTATAATATTTGAAAAGCATACTACTTTATCAGCAAAAGCTATTTATTTAGAGGTAGTGGCATCAGATATATTTTATCAATCAATTTGACTGACCCCTTGAAATTTGAAGCTAGACTATATTCCAACAATGGTTTTGAAGAGATACTCCTTAGTTAACTTAGAAATAATAATCACCGTAAATATATAACATGAGGCAGACAAAAGCCAAATGGCTGGGGAAACTATTTATCCAGATGAGACCAAATTGAGATTGAGCACTGAGCTATATCTTTTTGCTAATTTCACACATGGTAGAAGTATGAGTCAGATCTGATAGCTATCCAATTCCAGGATCTAGAATTATTATGTAACATAGTCTTTGAAAGTAAAGTATACTGAATATCCCTAAAGGTTTAGGACCAGACAGAAAAATCCTAAATGCTAAGTCAAACTGAAATTCCCTTCTAGAAATCCAACCCAAATAATGGTACTCAATAACAGCAGTATTTTAGGATAGGGAAGGAGTGTGAAGAATCTTCAGAACTGGAACCCCTCAAAAACACCCCCCAAGGAGATTCTAATGTAGCTATCACTACAGTTTCCCAACCCCTAATACCCCTTGAGCTAAATGCTTTAATTCTCCAAAAAACATGGATGGAGAATGGTGACGATGGGAAGTGACATGGTATCAATATCTATGGCGACAGGGCTTTAACCAATCTGGGTCCCTTCCCAGACCATCACAACAGCTTCTATTATCAACCAATTGTTTGAAGAAACCTAATAACCATTAGCAAGTACCAAGGGCACTAGAGTATTCTTCTGTTACTAATGGCACAAAAGAAAAGTGGAGAATAAAAACAAGTGGACTTGCATGATCTTCCTAAATTTTGTTTAAGGTCAGAAGATATTTCTGACCCACCTCTAAGATTCTGCAACAGAAGAGGTACTGAGCCACTAACTTCCCCCCAGAACAATGGCACACCTTTTTAAGGTGACAGTGGCTCTTCATCAGAGTTTCTCTGCAAATTAATTAGTTCTTAGAATTTTGAGTTGATTAACATGGTCTAAATAACAGAGCTAATGTTTTAACAGATCTCTGTTCTCACATATTACACTAAAAAAACACACAAAGAACATACACACCCATTTGTTGCATTTCCCCACCTCAAAACACCTTCTCCTTTTAAAAATAGGACTAGATCATCTGTGATCAGCATATACTTTAAAGCAGCGGTTCTCAACCTGTGGGTCGAGACCCCTTTGGTGGTCGAACACCCTTTCACAGGGGTCGCCTAAGATCATCCTGCATATCAGATATTTACATTACGATTCATAATAGTAGCAACATTACAGTTATGAAGTAGCAACGAAAATAATTTTATGGTTGGGTCACAACACGAGGAACTGTATTTAATGGCCAGAAGGTTGAGAACCACTGCTTTAAAGTGTCCTTGCTTAATTTACTCAAAATGTAACAAGACTGAAAAAAATATTAATATATGTAGTTTTAAATCATTCTTAAATTTACCTATCATTCATAAAAATAAGTTAGGCTGAAATGAAGAAAAATTAGAATACTGGTATTTTTAATATTATACAAGATTCCAAATTACCAAACATTACAGGTATTTATTTATACCCATTTAAACCCATTTCTGTTAGATTTTCTTCCAAAATAACCAGTTTTAACCGATTCAAAAATATTCTTCCTTTGTATGTTTTATGATCCCCCTATTATATTTTTAGACTACTTTAATTCATAAACAGCATTTCAAATAAAAGCACCAACAGCTTATTTAAATCCAGTTTTAAATGCTGATGCATGCAACCCCCAAAACCTACATTTCCAAAGGGGCAAGACTTTTTCTTGTAAATGAACCAGTATACACATTTCTAAGTAAATGAAAAATAGAGGAGACTGAATAAAAAAAAAACAGAGAAAGATACAAGAAACCTTTGTATGTTTTATGATCCCCCTATTATATTTTTAGACTACTTTAATTCATAAACAGCATTTCAAATAAAAGCACCAACAGCTTATTTAAATCCAGTTTTAAATGCTGATGCATGCAACCCCCAAAACCTACATTTCCAAAGGGGCAAGACTTTTTCTTGTAAATGAACCAGTATACACATTTCTAAGTAAATGAAAAATAGAGGAGACTGAATAAAAAAAAACAGAGAAAGATACAAGAAACAGGTTACTTACCATTACTCTGCAATGTTAATCCTGAGAGATCTTCATTTTTAAAAGGGGGAAAGAAAATGAAACATTAATCATTACCATGAAAATATTTTCCATTATATTTTAAATTATTAAATGTAAATATAAGCCAAAGTCAAAACTTCATGAACCATTTCAATTCAAGAATAAATGCTATCATAATACATGAAATATTCAACTCTATCACGCTTTCCATCTTATTTTCCAAAACAATATTCTAAATGGGCAAAATACCAACTATTCCGTTTTAGCAATCAAAATACAAGTGTGTTTCCAAAGTTGAAATTTAAATATTTATATTTCATTAAAAATGTCTGATTCTTTAACTTTAGTTGGAAGTCCTGGGCCACCTCCAAATTTATAATTTAACTTAGAAAAATTAAAACACTATTGAGATGTTTTCCCTTTGTGCTTCTAAGGAAAAAAGCAAAGTTTACTTACCAATTCCAGGTGATACAACTCGTTCATAGTGATATGGATTCACACAGACACTATCACACTTTAAGTCAAATGCATACTGACAATATTTAACATGTTTTAGTTCATTTTTGTGAAGATCAGGCCACCTCCAGAGACGGGCATAGATCACATGAGGAAATCCTTTACGGCCAGCCACCTAGGAAAAAGAAACAACCATTTTTGAGCATCAGTTATGCATCGTACATTATACAAGGCACTTTATACGTGTTCTCATTTAATCCTTACAATCCTATAAAGTCAGTATTTTAATCTCCATTTCATAAAAGAGAAAACTAGCCCTGACCGGTTTGGCTCAGTGGATAGAGCGTCAGCCTGAGGACTGAAGGGTCCCAGGTTCGATTCCGGTCAAGGGCATGTACCTTGGTTGGGGGCACATCCCCAGTAGGGAGTGTGCAGGAAGCAGCTGAATCGATGTTTCTCTCTCATCGATGTTAAAAAAAAAGAGAGAAAACTAAAGCTCAAAATAACTTACTTGGCTATGGTCACAAAGCAGTGAGCTTAGGTATGATTTCAAAGCCTGTGCTAGGTTTTTAAAATGCAAAAAAAACTATGGCTTTGTTGTGGAAATTATGCCTAAAATCTAGAAATAAAAATGTTAAATCTAATGACATGTTTCTTTAAAAATATTAAGGACTGGAGATATATTATGTAGTTCTACATGAAAAAATATGACCAGTTAAAACAAAAGGTAAAGAAAATTTGTCAAATATAAGCTTTTTAACTTAAGTTTTAAAGATATCCTTGAATTCTTCTAGATTTTTTTAATATAAAAGTACCAAACATACATTATCAGATTTCTAAATTATTTTAAAAAAAAGAACAAGTATAACTCGGGTTTCAAAAATGTGCATATAATACCAAAAAGGAAAAAAACATAAAAAAGCAACAAGAATGAATACCAAAATGCTAAAGGTATGGGTTTTCTTCTGCCTTTTATTTTTATGTTCCAAATTTTCTACATTTAACTTTTTAGTCAGAACATTAAACAATTTTTAAAATATGTCTTTATTATATGGAATACATATTCTTCCATATATTCCCATAGTGGGTATTGGTACAGGATGTGTAATATCTAAAGAGATGGGGCAAGAATTAAAGTATCCCAAAGAAACTGAAAGGAAACAAGAATTTCTTTTTTAATCTGCCACTACAGAAGATATATGAAAGCTCAAGTACAAGACTAACCTGAAGCCTTCCATCCAATGTTCTCTGTATGGTAACACATTTACTAGGATGAGCTCCATTTGTAGTAATGGCTGTTATTAACGAATCCAATTCATCTTTTTTCTCCTTCAGCTTCTTTACCAAACTTTCAATTGCTCTTTTTGCAAATGTTTCACTCTCTCCACCTTGTCTATGGCACATCAAACTATGTACAATGCTCAGACAGGCATCATTACTTGTTGGTGTATTTGTAATAGACATATTGTCCATTTGTTAAAGTTATTTCTTTTAAATCAAGTATATCTCCAATTTCCAGAGCAATTTTGATATTTTGGAGGCAGTGAAAAACACTGGCTAATGTCACAAGGCAAATTGTTAAACATGAGTATTCGCAATAACCTTAAAAAAAGAAAAGAAAAGAAAAGAAAAAGACATTAGAACACAGTTTACAAAGTAGATTCAATTACTTGGGAAAGATCGAATTGCTCCAATTAAGTCAAAGATTCAATGCACATAATTAAAATTTGGTTCTTAGCCCTAGCTGGTTTGGCTCAGTGGATAGAGGGTCGGCCTGTGGGCTGAAGGGTCCCGGGTTCAATTCCGGTCAAGGGTACATGCCTAGGTTGCAGGCTCAATCCCCAGGAGGGGGCATGCAGGAGGCAGCTGATCAATGATTCTCTCTCGTCATTGATGTTTCTATCTCTCTCTCCCTCTCCCTTCCTCTCTGAAATCAATAAAGATTTTTTTAAAAATTGATGCTTAGATTTTTAAATGACTTAATTAAAATATTGCTGTTTTTGACATTCCAAAAATATTAAAGTTAAGCCTTCTCATTATTATAGAGACATACTCAACCAAGCCTTATTGACTGTATTAGTCACCATAAAGCAGTGGTTCTCAACCTTCTGGCCCTTTAAATACAGATCCTCATGTTGTGACCCAACCATAAAATTATTTTCGTTGCTACTTCATAACTGTAATGGTGCTACTGTTATGAATCGTAATGTAAATATCTGATATGCAGGATGGTCTTAGGCGACCCCTGTGAAAGGGTCATTCGACCGCCAAAGGGGTCTCGACCCACAGGTTGAGAACGGCTGCAAAGTAAAATCTTAGGACTTTTAAAAAAGGAATACTTAGGAAGGTCAGCACTTAAAATATTCTTGATAGATACAACCAGTTAAACCTAATAGTCTATCACTAACACACATGAAAAATTCACTGTCACCTAATACAAATGCCATTTTTATCAGTGTACAACACCCATCTTTGTTCAAAGAGACTACTGACAACAATAAAAAGATAAAAACTTTTAAATGGGCAAAGGATTCTAAAACTCATTTCTACAAATCATGGCCATAAAGTACATGAAAAATGCTCAATCATTAATCATTAGGGAAATGCAAATCAAAACCACAAGGAGATACCACTTCACACCCACTAGGTTGGATAAATCAAAAGGATATACAGAGAAAGACAAATACCATATAATTTGTCTTTCACTATAGAATCTAATGAACAAAATAAACAAACAAAATAGAAACAGACTAACAGATATGGAAAACAGATTGACAAGCTATCAGAGGGGAGAGGCTAGGTGAAAAAGGTGACGGGATTAAAAAAAAAATTTCATGGACACAGACAACAGTGATTACCAGAGGGAAAGTGGGATGAGGGGAAGTAAAAGAGGGTAAAGGGGGCGGTAAATGGTGATGAAAGGACACTTGACTTCGGGTGGTGAACACATAATACAATATACAGATACTGTGTTATAGAACTGTACACTTGAATACTTGAATCCTATAATTTTATTAACCAATGTTACCCCAATAAATTCACTAAAAAAATGTTTTAATGATATATAGATACAGACAATAGGGTAGTGAAGGCCTTGGGAAAGGGGCAAGGGTGGGCCAGAAGGGATCAATGGGGAGAAAAGGGGGACATAAACCTTTCAACAATAAAGATTTAAAAAGAATAATTTAAAAAATAACTTGGGCTAGAAAAGATATTTTTTAAAAAGGATATACAATAAGTACTGGCAACGGAGTAGAGAAAATCAAACTCTCATAAATTGCTATTAGGATTGCAAAATGGTGCAGCCACTTTTGGAAAGTTGTCTGACAATTCCTCAAAATGTTAAACAAAGAATTACCCTATGACCCAGCAATTCCATCCAAGACTACTGAAAACCTATGTCCACACAAAAACCTGTACATAAATGTTCATAGCAACAGCATTCATAATATCCAAAAAGTAAATACAACCCAAATGTCCATCAACTGATAAATGTATAAATGAGTATATCCATACAATGTAATATTATCCTATATAATAAAAGCCCAGCAACTGAAACAGCAGAATGACCAGAACAACCAGAAACCAGAACAACCACGGCCCCTTGCCCCGGCCGGCCCCGGCCCCCAGCGGGGACCCCCACCCAGATTGGGGGCGTGGCCATCCTGCAAACCACCCCCTGCCCCTTGCCCCCCAGCAGGGACCCTCACCCCAATCCAGGGCCCCCATCAGGGTAGGCCGGCCAGTCCCCACCTGTGCACCAGGACTCTATCCTATATAATAAAAAGGGTAATATGCAAATTGACCCTAATGGCAGAACAACCAAGGAAATTGGAAACCCATTTGAAAAAAATGACAGAAAACTTCCCTAACTGGGTAAAGGAAATAGACTTACAGGTCCAGGAAGCACCGAGAGTCCCAAACAAGATGAACCCAGAAAGGCCCACATCAAGACACATCATAATTAAAATGCAAAAAGTTGAAGACAAAGAGTATCTTAAAACCAGCAAGAGAAAAGCTGTTAGTTGCCTACAAGGGAGCTCCCATAAGACTGTCAGCTGATTTCTCAACAGAAACTTTGCAGGCCAGAAAGGAGTGGCAAGAAATATTTAAAGTGATGAAAAACAAGGACCTACAACCAAGATTATTCTACCCAGCAAAGCTATCATTTAGAATCAAAGGACATATAAAGAGCTTCCCAGACAAGATAAAGTTAAAGCTGTAAAAAAGAAGGATCTCTTATCTTTTGAGATAGCATGGAGGGACCTGAAGAGTATCATGCTCAGTGAAATAAGCCAGTCAGAGAAACACAAGTAATACATGATCTCAATCTATGTAACAAAATAAACCAATGAACAAGATAGATCCAGAGACATAGAAACATGGAACAGACTGATAACTCTCATAGGGAAGGTGGGTGGAGAGAAATTAACCAAAGAACTTACATGCATAACCCATGGACACTGTCAATAGTGTGGAGAAGGCCTAGGGGGACAGGTGTTGGGTGGAGGGGGACAATAGGGAAAAAAGGGGGACATCTGTAATACTTTCAATAAAAGATAAATTAAAAGAAAAGAAAAAGCTAGAGTTCATTAGCACCAAACCAGTATTACATGAAATGTTAAAAGGTCTTTTTTAATAATAATAATAATCCTATATAATAAAAGCCCAGCGACGCAACCATAACGGCAGAACACCAGTCACTATGAGTTGCACTGACCACCTCTTGGTCCCTTTCCCTGGCCGGCAGGCTCCGATCACCCAATGGCGAACAGGGAACCAGGGGTGGGTGACGGGGGACGAGGGTGGTGCCAGGCCTAGGCCCCCACCCCACCAGTTGCCCCACACACAGAGGACAACCCGCGGCAGGGGCAGGGCCAGCGATCAGGCAGGAACGGCCAACCTCTTGGTCCCTTCCCCTAGCCGTCAGGCTCCGATCTCCTGATGGCAAACAGGGAACCGGGGTGGGTGGTGGCAGGGGGCAGGGCCAGTGAGTGAGTGGAATGGCTGACCTCTTGGTTTTTCCCCCCCGGCCGGCAGGCTCCAATCACCCGATAGCGAACAGGGAACCAGGAGTGGGTGGCGGCGGGGTGTGGGGCTGGCTGCAGGTAGCCGGGGAAGACAGCCCTGATTGCAGGCCAGGCCTAGGGACCGTACCCACTCACGAGTTTTGTGCGCCAGGTCTCTAGTTCAGTCATAAAAAGGAATTAAGTACTGGTACATGCTACAACATGGATGAACCTGGAAAACATGCTAAGTGAAAGAAGCCAGTCACAAATGGTCACATATTATATAACCCAATTTATATGAACTATCCAGAATAGGCAAATCCATAAAACAAAAAGTAGAATAGTGGTTGCCAGAGGTTAGGGCAGGGGTGGGCAAACGTTTTGACTCGAGGGCCACAATGGGTTCTTAAACTGGACCAGAGGGCCGGAACAAAAGCATGGATGGAGTGTTTGTGTGAACTAATATAAATTCAAAGTAAACATCACTACATAAAAGGGTACGGTCTTTTTTTTTTTTTAGTTTTATTCATTTCAAACGGGCCGGTTCCGGCCCGCGGGCCGTAGTTTGCCCACGGCTGGGCTAGGGGGAAGAGGAACGAGGAGTGACTGCTAATGGGTATGAAGTATCTTTCGGGGGTAATGATAATGTTCTAAAATGGATAGCGGTGATGCACAACTCTTATCATTCTAGTGAAAACCACTGACATGTATACTTTAAAAGGGTGAATTTTATAGTTTGTGAATTATATCTCAATAAAGTTATTTAAAAAGAGAGAGAGAGACCACTGAGCCCTGACCAGGTGGTTCAGTTGGTTGGAGCATCATCCCGTACACCAAAAGGTTGCGGGTTCAATTCCCAGTCAGGGCACATACCTAGGTTGCAAGTTCAATCCTGGCTGGGGAGCATAAGGGAGGCAACCCATCAATGTTTTCTTTCTCACACTGATGTTTCTCTCTTTTTGTCTTTTTCTTTCTCCCTCTCCCTCTCTCCCTTCCCCGCCTCTCCCTCCCTCCCTCCTTCCCACTGTTCCTTCCTCTCTCTCTAAAAATCAATAAAAACATATTCTTGGCCCAGCTAGTGTGGCTCGATTGGTTGAGCATCATCCCATGCACCAGGAGGTCACTGGTTCAATTCCCAGTCAAGGTACATGTGCAAGTTGTGGGCTCAATCCCCAGTAGGGGGTGTGCAGGGGGCAGCTGATCAATGTTTCTCTCTCTTTTTAAAAACAACACTGAATTCCTCAAAAATTTTTACCTGTGAAAGCAACAGAGTAAATTATTTTCTTCTTTTTCAACTGTTTTTTAATTGATTTATTAGAGAGAGAGAGGAAGAGAGAAACATCAATGAGAAACATGATCAGCTGCCTCCTGCACACTCCCTACTGGAGATCAAACCCATAACACAGGCATGGGATATGCATGGGACGATGCTCAACCAACTTACCCACACAGGCCAGGGCGATTATTTTCAAAACAAACATATATATACACACATACACTAGAGGCCCAGTGCACAAATTCGATCACTCACTATGAAGTGCGCTGACCACCAGGAGGCGGCACGGAACAAAGGAAGGCCCCAATCGGCCCTGA